AAATCACCATCTCGGAAATCGAGAAAAATGAACATTAAAACTCATCTTGTGTTTATAGAACTTTTTATTAAACAAGTATTTTTTTAGCGAAAAACACAACCGACTTCTCATATACAAATTTAAGAGTACCGTAAATTTTTTCCTGATCCTATGATTGGATCTAGAGCAAATTAGTATGGGACCCCTCTGAGGTAACAACTTCCCCTTAAATTAGAATTATAGGAATCGGTTAATGTGGTCCAAAAGTTATGCGGTAACATACATAAAAAAAAAATTACGACGAATTGATAACCTCCTCCTTTTTTCCTCCTTTCTCCTTGTTGTTTTACATTTTAACGGTCTGATAAGTCTTCTCATTTTCGTTGTTTGTATTTCCGGCAAGGTAGGAGTGTGATGTATTTTAGAACGATTTTCCATCATCCCTTTCGTTCTGATAAGTCTGAGTACCAAATTCCATATACAATTATTAAATGTTCCCTTGCCTAGCCGAAATTGATACTAGTTAAAACAGATGAAAAATTTCATGTGATTTAAAATAAATGTATTTTTGCAAGTTTGTAACACTTCGATTTCCTGGAGGTCACTACATAGTACACACATACATATGTATGTACATACACTGAGGGTAAAAATATTAAAATCAATCAGAAACGTAGTTGATCTTACTATAAACTTCAACGAAAGTACTGTCTAGTGGTAAATATTCAATTTATGTAAGCGAATATAAAGTATACATTTTTACTATGCATTATTTCCCTCAGTGTACTTCATATAACAATACACTTGCACGGCAAACAGTTGCACCAACGTCAAGTATAAACAACGTCGATTGCCATAAATGTCAGCTATCGTTAGATTTATTTAAGGCCTACAAGAAAACCGGCAGCACAGCGGACAGTCGGTGGTTATGGCAGTAAGCCACCAACAGTATAAATTTATGGTGTGCTACAGGCACATTTTCTTGAAAAGAAGTGAGAAAAATTACAAAAAAAAAATAAAAAAAATTTTAACAAAAAACCACTCAATAGGTACTTTTTTACATTGTTCACATACTCGCGTATGCATACCTACATACCTCCGTCGATTTTGCGCACAAAACACAGGAAGTGATGGAAGTTAAGTGTTTTTAGTTGTTTTTGTTGTGGGCCATTTAATTTCCAACACTTTTGCGACCACACCATTTGATGGTGGATCGGTGGGTCTATTCATAGAAAGGTGTCTATGGAAAAATGGATACATACATACATTCATACTATTTATACATACATATTACATATTAGCATGATGAATATTAGCATATTACTTCATAGCGGTTGTTCATTTTATGAATGGCTAGACTCGTTTTATTGCATGTTCATTAGGGTGGTCCAAAAATGCATGTGAAAAAGTAAAGTCGGAATTTGTATGCTCTCACCCCCTAGGATTCTTCCATACCGGAAAAATATACCCCTATTTTTTATTTTGAAATCAAAAAATATTTAGAGGTCTCTCAAAGCGCTCAAAGTTTTCCTTGTATTTTATATGGGAAAAAAGAACTTTTCGTTTAAATGGTATAGAATTCTTAAAATCAATATTACTCGATCAGAAAACCCTGTTTCTCTGCAAGAGATTCCCAATAATACTACCCTAGTGTTTATTTAACCATTTTTTCATAATAATAATAGATTGGCGCTTACACATATGTTAGTGTTTGGCCGAGCTTCTCCTCCAATTTGTGGCGTCCGCCTTGATGTTGTCACTCATAATTTAGTAACTATAATTTATAGGTCCGCCAAAAACCCCGAAAAATGCAATGAGGGGACCAATAAAAAATTGTTAGTATTTAAAAATGGTTAAATAAACCATTGGGTATTACTATTGAAAGTCTCCTGAAGAGAACCTGACTTTACCGATCGAAAAATATTTATTTTCAAGAATTCTATACCATTTCGACGAAAAGTTGTTTTTTCCCATATAAAATACATGGAAAACTTTAAGCGCCTTGAGCGACCTGTTAATAGTTTTCGATTTCAAAACAAAAAATAGGGGTATATTTTTTCCGATATGGAGCAATCCTAGGAGGTGAGAGCATTAAAATCCCCACTTTAATCTTTTTGGACCACCCTAATGTTCATACATAGTAAAAAGGCATGTTCCTATATATACTGATATACATATGTTTGTACATGTATGTGTGTGTAGGCATATTGATTCTGTTATGGTCATCTGTGGTCGATGGTGGTCCCTCTAGTAGTTCGCATAAATTGGATAGCTTTTTAAAAAATAATAAAATGAACCTACGGTCAAGTCCCGCATTTAGTCCAAGCAATTAGTAGAGCATTGAACGTTGTTTGTCAGTTTTTAGTAAATCAGACAAATAACTCTCTCTTAAGTTAAGTCTTTCCTTTGAATTGTATACGCCTATCCTTAACTGCAAAATAAACCAAGATATAGCCAAATAATAGGAAAAATACACATTTGCAGAAAACATTAATAAATCCGTTGAGCTGGTTGAATGGTTGAGCTGGACATAAAATAACAAATTTTCAGGACGTTAATCATTGTGGGCAAATAAAATGCGATTGACAACTAAACAGGTTGCAACCCTACTAAAAAATAATACATAATTGCGCATCTGGAGGCCAAGCTCTTTCATTTGACACCTCATTTCTTGTAATCTAACGAACAGCCCACATTTTTTAATTTTTCGCACAGGTTGCAACCCTTTTCGAAAAATAAAACCTTACTGCAAAGCGGAAGGTCAAGCCTTTTCCTTTGACGCCTAATTTTTTTAAGTTGAATGGACTGTGTAAATCTAATGTCATTAACAAAAAATGCCCTCGTGCACCCCCACTCAAACAAAAAATAAAAACTTATTCCACATGCAGAGACCATATTCTTTCACTTGGTACCTCAGATTTTAGTCCAACAAAAGGTGAAGATCTTATAATTTTTAAAAAGTGGCAACCCTACTCAAAAAGCAATACATTATTGAACATCTAAAAGCCGAACCCTTTTATTTGACACCTCATTTCTTGTAATCCAACGAACAGTGCCGATCTAATAATTTTTTAGACAGGTGGCAACCCTATAGGATTAAAAGTACTCAAGATAATATTCCAATCGATACAGATTATTTAAAAAAAAATCTCGTATAAATCCGTTCAGTAGTTTTTGAATTCTGCGTGGTCAAAATATCTCGACTTTCCTTTACACTGTGTATAGAGGATAGTAATTTTTATATAGGTGGCAAAAATTTAAGCTTTTGTACATGCCAAGGGTGGGCCCTTTCTTTTTAGAATATGCATCTTTGGTGTTTTTCAAGCACAACAATGTTTTTCATTTAAGGCTCAATACTTTTGTAACTCGGCTATTGCAACAACCTTATTTTTATCGGTTGCCCCAATTTTTTCGCCTGCTTTTTCCGAGGGCGTACTGTATGTACTTTAAAAATGAATTTTTTTATATTTACATACATATACATTATACGCTTGGTGCGTGCTAAACCACAAATCTTATAGATTAACGGAAGCGCATTGCATTTTTTATGGCTTGTTAATCCTATTTAATTAATTTTTCAACACCGTCATCAGAGTGAATCATAGTGAATTAGTAATGAAAATACATATAGTAAACACATTTCCTGTGCTTAAGCCATTTCCAAATATGCATGAAAGTATGTACATAAATAGACAAAAAGTTCAATAAAGCAGACAGGATAGAACAACCACACATTTTTGGAGCATTTGCATAAACCTTTGGTAGAACCGAAGACAGAGAAAGGCGAATAAAATAATCAGATAAAGATAATTAATTATTCATGGATGAACTTTTCATCGCCTTATGAATTTTCAAGATTTGAAATAAGAAAAAGAGTAAAAATTTGTGCAGTGGTCCACCATTTTTTCGAGGGTCGAGCTTTTTTTGTGCAATTATCTGTTTATGCTCCCAACGATAAAAGAAAAATACAAGTTTCGCAATTTTTCGAAATTCGAATTATTTTGGAAGTTATAGCTATTTTAACATTTTTCGAAATTGTTTAGATTTTAATTGCTTTCTCGTGATAGGTAATATCGATTTTGCGCATATTTTAAACATTTGAGAATGATGGTGTTTTCTTCTAATTTTTATTTTTTTAGACCATACATTTTTTTGTTTATAAAATTTAACAATGTTTTTTTTTTTTAAATATTACTGACATCTCAATGTCTTTAAAATCGCGTTTTGGGCTAATATTGTTGTACGTTCTACTAGTAATTATTTGCAGAAAAAATATTTCCGGCAACGCATCGAGAGGAAAGTTATTCACGCTTTTCTCTTGTCGCCCAATGTATTTTGTATGGCCCGTATGCATAAAAACTAAGCAATTGCTTTTTCTTAAAATGGTGGTCGATTAAATCGAGTAAAAGGCCTCAAGTTTAAGGAAAAGGCAATTAAATTAATAAAAGGTTGGCTTTTACACAATGTGTTAGTGTTAGGCCGAGCTTCTCCTCCTATTTGTGGCGTGCGCTTTGACACCGTGAGTCACGTGCGCATCTCTTTCAAGACTGGGGCTGACCCTTGCAAATACTGGGATATGTTTACATATCTTAACAGGCATGCAGACTGCACTTGAAATATGTATGAATGAAACATTTTTCAACAGTTTTAAATGTCGGATTTTTGTCCTTTTTTCTATAAAACCATGAATTCCTTATGGGGAAAAAATTGCCAAAAATCAATGGTAAGTCCTAGCTACCTCAAACTTACACTTTATTGTACTAAAATTAAATGGGCTAAAAAGCTGCGTACTAAATTGTTTTCTGAAGAGTGTAATAAAAAGTGCAATATTGTAATGAAAATTTGCAGAACATTTTTTTATAATATTTTTTCAAAAACTTACGATGTCGAAATCCGCAATAAAATCTGCGTTTCGCTCACTTTAGTCCTGGATTTTTTCCACTATATTCGGCACCGATCTATATTTGACCATTCTTATAAGTAATTCAGGACATTTTTAGCTCTCTAATGCGTATTTTTTCACCGACGGTGCATTAATTTAGTACTTCAATGCCAATTTGGCTAGACTACAATATCGGGTAAAGAGTTCATTAGTACTTAGTATTTAAGCTATTTTTGCTCTTTTTTTCTTAAAGCTTAAAATGGTCATTACTTAACACTTCAATCTATTTATGAAGAATTGTTGTGGTTTTATGAAACACAAAATCGATGCCAAGGGTTGATTGTCTTTGGTTGTGTTGGCTTGCGGCCACAAGCTGCCAAAACTGCAACGCACCACCTCGCTGCCTTTGGGCAACTCCATCCCTTGAATATGTATCTGCATCCTCACCCCTTTTAAGATATGTACTCATATGTAATGGTTTTTATCACCAGCTGCACGTGTCGGCATCTGTGCAAAGAGTCGCGTGCCGCCGCCAGTATGACTGGAGACCGGCGCTGACAACTACGATATGCACGCAGACAGTAAATCCGAGCAAGGACTACATATTATGTAGACTTGCGAGTATGCATGTGCCACTACTATCAGCACGTAAAAGTGGTCATAATGGCGCATTTGTCGACTCGCCAAGAGACTGCGGAAAATACATTACGCTCGTTGAGATTTAATATTCGAGCGATGAGTCATACCTACCCCACAAACATCCAGTCGTCTTGGGCGTCGGAGCATACTTAGTAGAGCAGCATTTTAGCGACCTCCACAACTCTTAGCTCGATGACGCCATCGACTTTCGTGGTTATGCTCCGTCTATGCTGCATAAAATGCCAAGCTTTTTGGGGTTGATTTGCTACTGCATAGCTACAGTATGTGAACAGTATATGAGATGGGCGTAGGCCTACTTGACGCTATTTACCTACAATTGTTTAGTATTTATACATACTACCGTTGTGACTCACCTGAACTCGACTCCTGCGCTGTGTCGCGACGCCTTGAACCGTCAAGTTGCATTGAATACTCAAATGATTTTCCATTGAACCACGAAGTACTCTCAAGGGTACTTAGTTTGGAAACAAATGTTTTGTGGTTAAATTTAAAACATTCGTAAATGGACCCCTTTGCAACTTCATGGCGATGCAAATGAGGTGTTACGTTGTTTGTTTGGGCCTTCAATTAGCCTCCTTTGATTATTCGCACTTTTACTATCAGACATTATTTACCATTGGCTTGGATTTATAAATACAGTTTACATATACATATAGAGTATAAATACACATACAAATATTGAATGGTTTAGCTTTTCGCTTTTATTTCGCACTTATCAGTTCATATAATGATAAAAGTTATCTTTTAGTTTGCTCACTTTCCAAATACAAATATTTATGAGCATGGGACAAATTAAAATTTTACTTTTGTATTAAAAAGTCGATTGTAATTTGAAGTAACTAGTTCCAGAATATTTCGTTTTGGACTCTAACTACTAACTAATGTGATAGTGGCTGGCTCTGAGTAGAGATTCAAGTAACATTTTCGCGAATGGGTCGAACTTGCATGATAAAAAAATTCCAAACTACATGTCTCCGGCTTGGAGAAACGTGACGAATTGATATGGTCTAACAATTAGAAAAAAATTAATAAAGTTTCTGCAAGACCATTTTCTGGGTTGAAGTGTCTGCAAAATATCGTTGATTTTTACAAAGTTAGAAAATGTGTTGGATATTTTTTTTATAGAAGAAAATAATAACATCATCGGCAACAGTAACAAAAATATTTTAGATTAGAGATTTAAGAAAGCTTTATTTAAGAAATATTTTTAAAGTGGCCTGCCACCTGTTTAGAAATTCAAAATCAATTTGATCAACAAGTTAAATTAAATAATTTAAAGTGGGTATCAAAATAAATTTTGCAATATGGTAGCCAAAGGAACGAGGTGTAAAAAAAGATTTATTTCGACCACTTTTTTGAGCATTGCCATATATGTATTCTAAAGTCAAATCTTTGTTTTCATAAGTTAAATAAAGTATTACGATATGTATGTACATAGCAAGTTAAATATACGCTTGCAAAAATTAAATAGGGCGTTGGCACGCAATGTGCACATCGGGAAAATTCCGGTATACCCAAGCGTAATATAAGCAAAAAGTACAAACTTTCGAAACGATGTTCATTAGTATTTATAGGGCTATTTGTAAGTAATAATCTACTTAAAATATCATACATAGCTTATCCATTTGCATAAGACTGCTTCACTCCCCATACAAAAAAAAAAAAAAATCGGTACTCTTTTTCCATTGGAATTATAAAATCTATTATATTTAAGACTTTCAATAAAATATATCGGAAAAATACTAAGACTTAAGCGAGCTGGACCGATTTGAAATTACCTAAAACAATGGAGTTTTTTTTATGACTAAAAATAGTTTCTTATGATTTTTTTGAAAAAAATCTCCTCAAATGACTAAACGGTTCCAGCTTAAAAAATTTGCATAAAAAAATTGGGACTCGAATGACTTTTTTTTTTTGCACAGAAATAAAAAGAGTGAGAAAATACCTTGCTACCTCATAAGTCTAAATCAAAATAGTTTAGGCCCAGGTATTCAAGGTTTTCGTTAATCAATCTTAAAAAAAAAGTTAAAAAAAAGCATAAAAAATCTATTATTACGATTCCGTTGAAAAGATTTTTAAATATTTTTATGCAGATTTTTTTTAGCTTAATCTGTTCTGTCATCTGAATGGATTTTTTTCAAAAATTTCTTTAAAAAAATATTTTGATTCATAAAAAACTCTTTTTTTTTGGGTATTTTCAAATCTGTCCAGCTCACTTAAATATTAATATTTTTCCGAAATATTTTGGTGGATGTCTTCAAGTATAATAAATTTTGTAATCCCGGTGGAAAAATTGCAACTTTTTCTGTGATGCAGTCTAATGTACATATGTACATATTGAATACTTTTTACTTCGTTTTTCAAAATTAACTCAACTAAATAAATTTTTCCTTTCGTTTTTCAGGTAAATTCTGAACAACATGGCGACAAGTCCAAAGCCCGTCAAGAAGGTGCCTATACATTTGCAGGTAAGTACAATTACTGCAAAATGTTGTAGATACTCCTTCTCAATAACAATATTTCAACATTTCAGAGCTCTCAGAATCGCGTCTATATCAAGAATGGACACATCGTAAATCACGACAAGTCATTCAAGGCTGATATTTACATTGAAGATGGCATAATCAAGTAATTATTTATTATAAGAGTGTTTTTTTTTTATTGCTAATGTGTGCCTTTGAAATATTCAATAGATTTGTGGGCCCCGCCTCTGAGATTGTTGTGCCCGGTGGCGTACGCATAGTGGATGCTGCTAATAAGTTGGTGTTGCCTGGTGGCATTGATCCACACACCCATATGCAGTTGAAATTCGGCGGTTGTGTGGCAGTAGATGATTTCTATCATGGCACCAAAGCGGCTGTAGCCGGTGGCACCACCACCATTAGTGAGTATTATTTAATACCACAAAATACTATTATGAAAATAAAGAAAGAAAGTATATGTACATACGAGTAATTCAACTTTAATGCACAGTCGACTTCGTGCTACCCGACAAGGGCGAGTCTCTGGTTGAAGCCTACGACAAATGGCGCGCTTGGGCTGACCCCAAAGTTTGCTGTGATTATGCGCTCCATGTAGGTATCACTTGGTGGTCCAAATCTGTGGCCGAGGAAATGAAAATTATGTGCGAAGAGTTGGGCGTGAATTCTTTTAAAATGTTCATGGCCTACAAGGGTCTCTATCAGTTGAATGATTCCGAATTGTTGGATGCTTTCGAGCGTATACGTTCACTGAATGGTGTGGCGCAGGTATTTGCTTGTAATTGTTAGCCAATGCCTAGCTAAACTAGCATTTATTTTTTTTTAGGTGCACGCTGAGAATGGTGATATTATTGCTAAGAATGTGCAAAAATTGTTGGCCGCCGGTATAACTGGTCCAGAGGGTCATGAACTCTCGCGGCAAGAGGAAGTGGAAGCTGAAGCAGTGAATCGTGCCTGTATTCTGGCACATCAGGTATGTGGTTTGGTTAATTCGACTGCACTGATAATTTTGTTTTAAGTACTCGCAGTTACACGCATTTATTGAACATTAAATGTTCGCATACATGTGTAGCGATAAATATTGAACAAATCACTACACAAACAACGCATACATAAAACATACATTTGTATGTATATATTTACACATTACGGATCGGTTAAGTTCTGTGAGAATGATGATATTTCATTTGAATTTATTGTAAATCCAAATTGTAGAAATGGTCATGGCATGAGATTATCTATATATAGTTTTATTTTTACCCGTACAAATGGGTCCATGAGAAATTTTTATGAAACCGTTTATCACTTATTTGAAAGCTTTTTTTGCACTTACATATTTTTTATATGTACATACATATTAAAATTTTTTTCTTACTGTTAATATGTAATGCCTTTAGTACCACATATTTATTTATTTAGGGAATTAAAATTAATTGTTATATTCGCTAAAAGTAAAATACAAAATATTGCCCATCCGACACGTTGGTTCACCTAGCTTAAAGTGTTTAACACTAAATAGGATATATATCGTTAGCTTAGAGTGCAAAGTTACTAAGTCCACTTTTTATGAAACTTCATATTTTGATATATATTAGGCTGGAGATATTAAAAATGCATTGTTTCGAAAAAGATAAAAGAACTTGCTTTATTTTTTTCTCGTTTATATTCAATGAATGAAAAATTTGCTAAGTATAAAAGAGGCACCCAAAATCCGACAAGGCCAAAATAATACGAAATCTTTTAATACAGATCGTATCCGTTTGTTTTGCTTTGTGTTGTGTTTAAACTTTTGCGAAATACGTGCAGAAAATGGCTATGAGAAGGTTTTTACTCTCCTGTAAAATTAAAAAAAAATGTACTTAAAAACTTTTTACTCTAAGCTAGCGATATGTATGTACGATAGTGTATTATATGCGAACACTGCTAGGATAATCGTTTAATTAAAAAAGGGGTAAAAGAGCAAATACGCTAACCACACTCTATGGGAGCATCAAAAAAAAAATATTCTGAAGGTAACTCATACGACCTGTCGCACAGGGTGTCGTGTGGACAGAATTCATTCTCGGATATTTAGAAAAAGTTAACTTATTAATATAAAGCATATCCCCAAAGCCCTGACTGACAAGTTTTTTAAGTCCTACATTTTGCTGAGGAAGTGTAATAGTGGTCAGAAATTAGTTTATAATCATACTGAAACTCAAAAAGATTGATACACGTGATATAAATCTTCCCCTCTAAAGCTATATCCAGCCGAAATTTAGCGAAACGGCCAGCGAGAAAAAATGAAGTGATCTTTGCTTAGATGCCAATATAATCTGGTTTGGAACTGACAAGTTTACATTTAAAATATACCCTGCCTTTTTAGTACCCAAAATTTCTACAACTACTTGGAGGCCTTGAAAAAAATCAAGGAAATGTCGTTCAGGCCTAGAGCTGCTGCCAAATAAAACTTTGCGGCTTTGCGTGATATTTATAACTTTATCAGCAAAGCGCCAGATGCAAAAGGTATGCCACAATCAATGCCAAGAAAACAATTTTGTACTGCTTTTTTACTCGTCAAAATTGCTGGGGATTTTATATATTTTGCTTTAAAAATATCAGCAATGTAATTAACCGCTGATGGTAGCAGAGGAAGAGGGAGGCCCCCACTGCGATGGAAAGATCAGGTGGAGAAGGACTTGGCTTCACTTGGCGTTTCCAATTGGCGTCAGTTGGCACAGAGGAGAAACGACTGGCGTGCTTTGCTGAACTCGGCCAAAATCGCTTAGGCGGTTACAGCGCCAAAAAAGAAGAAGAAGAAGAATTAAGTTTTATGTTTCTACATGAAAACTTAAATTTGGACGAAACAAAATAAATATTAAACCCGCTGATTGTCAAAGCGCGTAAAAAGATGGGAGTTGGCCATTTGTCAAAGATATGACGAATAAATCGATGCGACGCTAATTTTTTAACAATTTTTTTTATGTATAAGTAGCTGCCATATGTAAGCTCCCAGTAGATTAATCCGCTGTCTGCTAAGGGTATTACACTCGCATGGACAGATGTGTTGCACTGTCACTCCTTTCTTTCTGCATCCTACGGATCTTATTATTCACCAGAGCCAGTTTAAAAGCGTGCGTTGCCCTTTTGAGAGATAGGAGAAGCTTCCTAGCTTTATGTTATACGCTATGCACATAGTCCCGAATACTTTGCAGCATTGTGTTTTGGTTCACACCTTCTGCTTCTTCCAGATCATGGACAGGTGGAACTCTGTATAATCGCTTGGTGGCAGTGGCGGATCCAGCTGGTGCTTCGGGTGTTAAACTACGTGTCAGTCAGTGGCGGACGCACGGGGTGTGTTTTAATATGGCGTCTATGTACTAAGACATTCCCCGTGGGTCCGCCACTGACTGATACGTAGTTTATCCCCCAAAACCTCCCCCTCGCTGGATCCGCCCCTATTTGGTGGTAAATCGGTACTTGCTTCCATCAGCATAATTTCCGACAGAGCGCCTTCTTCGACAAGCCTGTCCGTATCTTCGTTGCCCGTGACGCCGGTTTCCCGGAACCCACTACATTGTACGGCTGTATCAGTATGAAGCAAAGCCAGAGCTGCCCTGCACTCCGCCAAACTTCTTGAGAAAGTGCTGTGCGATAGTAGAGCTTTATCGCAGCCTGACTGTCGATATACAGATTTACCTATTTATTCGCTACGATGCTGCAGTCCGGCCGATCTCTATACAATAACCGAGCCAGACTATAATGGCTTCGAGGTTCGTCCCAAATTGCAGATCCGTGTTCATGTAGTTAATCCGTCCGCTTAGAACCTACACACAAACTGGGCCGTAGCATACAGCCTAGCCGCAGTATTTGACCCTTTTTATTGGCTCATAGGCGCGCAGGCAAGAGATGCAAGAAGGTGTAAAGTGCTGCCATTGGCGAAGATCTAAGTGCCCCTATCGTGTCGATCATTGATAGCATATATGTATATACTTTCTGTTTGTTTAAGAAATGTTTTCCTTTCCATTGCGGTCCACCAAACCAATATCTCACGGAAAAGTATCGGCAGTGAAGATGCAGTATGAACGAGAAGGCTATAGGCCCTATATGTAGCCCAGCATTATTTTTCACGCATAGAATGCCTCTGATGCCTTCTTTGTCCTTTTCTTCACCTTGAGGCGGCACGATATCTTGCTCCAAGTATTATTTCGAGGATATTGGCGCTTTGCTCCAGCTGGAGAGTCACCCTGCTTCGATTGCTCAAAGATAATACTTTCTCCCTTATTGCTTGGCTCATATGTAGAAACCATAGTAGCGGCGATAATATACCCCCTTGTCGCGTACCTCTATTAACCGGTTTGGTCGTTTTATGCCACTGCGTCCAAACGCTTTTGCGATTCAATACACTGCTTATCCAATTCGAAATCACAGAAAAAACCCCTATCGTCGTCATTACGTTTAAAATGGCATGCTTTGCGACATTGTTAAAACCCCCCCGCTATGTCCAGGAAGACACGCAACACGAATTCGTCTAACAATATTGTGTAAGGCGGTATCTACAGATCTTCTTTTTATGTAAGCATGTTGTGGTTTTAAGAACGTGCACCACACTACGTTTTATTTGACGCATATATCTATTCACCTCTCCCAGGCCTTTTGAAGAAATTATGTTAGGCTAATGGGCCTTGGGGTATGCCAGACCACTTGTGCTCATTTTTACCAACAGTAAGTTCTCCTATTCGTTGGAATGTAGGTCAGCTTATAAAAGCCTTCAAAAATGTTACAGAGCCAGCCCCTGGTCTTCTGACCCGGCTTCTGCAACATCGCAGGAAAACTGCTATCCAGAGACTTATACTACGGAAAGGAGCTAAAGGAGCAGTCTGGATGGCGACTCCAATTCTCTTCCACGGCTACCGTCTCCTGTGATGCATATTGCAGGTAGCGCGAGGTGGAGTACCCGGATCCTCGACCGCAGAGAAGTGAGCCTGTAATAATATTTTGAGAGATTGAGTCCACTCCCCAGCGTCCCTTTTAATGAGTCCCTGGGTTAAACAACCCTTGGATAGGACCTTCCTTAGCCTTGTTGCCGCACTGGAGCTCTCGATTCTACTGCAGAGGTTCCGTCATGATTTTATTTTCTCACTACGTACGGCTTTCTTGTAGATCTCTAGGATCTTTAGAAGATCCGCACACTTAGCTAGTTAAAATACTTTCTCACCAGTTTCCAAAGGGTACTAAGTTCGGACCTCCACCAAGAGCTAAGGGCCCATCCACATAGAACTTTGGTGTCGCGTTGGCATGGCGTTGCTTCAGCAGCTGACTATGAATACATGCACTCAAATGCAGTAGAAAGATGGCCAACTTACAACTTTTCGCGTGCATCGTTCGTCAGCTTCAGCAGATAAATAAAATTGTGGGATAATTTTTCCCTGTTAATAACATGTATTCAAGAAATATCGTTTTTCATGCATTTATTTATAAGAAATATTAATTTATGCATCTGTTGTTAATATGTTGATTTAGAGGCCAAATCATTCGCTGCCAAGCCTTAATTTTAGCTAGCATACTTTTAACGTGCGTTCTGTCAAATCAACGCAAACGCCAACGCTAGCGCGAATGTTCTAGATGGGATTTGGCCATCTTTTCGCTTCGCTCTGCAGCTTATCTGTCAAAGCGAATCTGTTACCCAACGCGAAGCAAGCGTTTTATCTGACATCAGCTTTAGTCCTTCCGTTAGCTTTCTTTAGAAGAGAATTTTTGCATTTGTAACAAATGGGAGTGCTTTGAGTTAATACGCTTCTCATTATAGTTCGAAATTAATAATTTGAGGTTTATTTCTCCCTAAAAGAGGTGTGGCTTTTTCCGCTAAATTTCGTGTGTAAATATGTACATTTGTTAGCTATACAGGTCAATGGATGTTTTTGGTTTAAATTTTCAAAATTTTTTGCTCATATTTAAGCCTCTATTATTTACTTTTATATAAAATTTTACTATTTTTTTATTATTTTCTTATTTTCCATTTTTATTTGTACTTGTTACATTTTGCACATACACCTCCCGACCACCCAACATTTACACAATGCAAATATACAAACCGATGCATCAAACACCACTTCCAAACCAATATCCCACAACCCGTGTACCTCCTCGACCTCGCATAGTCCGATTGTCCATTGTATGTAGTGCATGTAATGAGTAAATCGGCGGGCATTGAAGTGGCCCGTGCCCGCAACCGCTACAAGAATCAGGGTATTTACGGTGAAACTCTGGCTGCGGCGCTTGGCACCGATGGCGCGCACTATTGGCATGAATGCTTCCAACATGCAGCGGCACATGTGCTCAGTCCACCGCTGCGTCCCGATCGAACAACACCCGAGTTTATGATGAAGCTTTTGGCGAAGTAAGTTTTGAAGGGCGTACAGAAGGGAGGGTTAATTACAAACTAACAAAGTTGGAAAAAGAGTTAACCTCACTAAATTGACCTCACTTACATAATTGTTGTTGCAATTTGTTTGATTCAAAGTGCACGTTACTAATACAACCATTGCATGCACTTTGGCTTAGAACTCGTTTCCTCGGAACGGTAACATTTTAGCACCCATTCAATATCTAATGATCAATATGTATGTATAGGCATTTACTAAACACATGTCTATATAGAAATTTAAATCGTTCGTATGTGCATATGTACGTAATTATGCCTAATCAATATTTATGTATGTCATTAATTATACGCTGCTGCAATTAACCCATTTAATTGTTTGTAATTTGCCTAACCATTTTGTTTGTTTGTTTGTTTGTCTCGTTTGGTTTTGTCTATTTTTTTGTTTGTATTCTCTTTCTCACGCTCACTCACACACATGCTAACCAACCACCCGCAAATATTCACCCATCAACGCTTAAATGCCATTTGAATGGCGGCTACGCAGATGAAAACGCCGCTCTATGTGACGCGCATCACTTCGAAATCATCTGCGGAAATTATTGGACGCGCTCGTCGTAGCGGCTATGTTGTATTCGGTGAGACTTTGACCAGCTCAATTGGTCGCTCAATGAATGGTGTTCGTCAGCAGGATCGTTTGTATTACATTACAAGTCCACCAATACGTGAATCGGCCGAAACGCCAAGGCAATTGATGAAGTCGTTGGCGTAGTAAGTATTTCATGGTCATAAATAATGGGTGTTTCTTTTTAGTTGTATAGAACTTTTTCGAGTTGGTTACTTGCCAGACTTTTTGAGCAAATATCTATGTTTACCTTTATACAGCGGAAAGTAGTTATCCCCAAAAAAGAATAAGTAAATTTTAAGCGAAAAACACAACCGACTCAATGCTTATATGTATAAAAATTTAGGAATACCGTTACTTCTTAACGAACTATGGAACCACCCTTGGGGTACGACGTCTCCGCCAAAAAGAAGAATTATCGAAAAAAGTTCACGTTGTCCAAAGATATTCGTTAAAAAATATATGTATATACATATCTACGCCTCCAAGCCATACTATGCTAAGTCTGACTAAGTTAAGGTGACGATATATTCCCATGAATTAATACCCTTCTTCTATTTTTTGAGGTCGGTTAAAAATATATAATTTCCTCATAGCCTGGTTCCAATTCATATGACAAAGGAAATCCTTAAATGCCCCCTAAAGCTACATACATACATGCCGCAAAACAGTACTTCAGACGGGTCCCTCTAGCCCCGACCCAGTCGAAACAGCACTTTTCCTGGGCCTACCGTTAGTTAAGCTTAACAACAATAATTGACGGTTTATTCGTAACAGGTAGGGCTAAGTAATCAGCTATAACAACAAAAACATGTCCCTTAAACTGTGGTCAGGTGGCCCAAATTGTGTCAGATTTCTTAAGTGTAATTTCTTTACAACCAAGTTTCAACCAATTTCCAATGAGCTAGAGACTTGACATTTCAAATTTAGCTAAGAACTCAATGAAAATGCAATATGAAAGATGAATTAATCTGCTAGGTGGTCGAGATATTTGAAAAATCCGCATTTATGGTCCGATTTGTTACATATTCAGAACAAATATTACTTCCATGAAAAGGAATAACTACAAAAAACTTGCCCAATTGGTGACGCAGAAGTCTAGTTATTTGGGAAACCCGTATTCATGGCCCGATTTGGTGCATATTTAAAATGTAAATGTATGTACATAAGTATTTGGACACCCGGAATGTACGTTTAGCCACTTTTCAGAAATCATGATTGCGAATCGGGACTGCAATAGAAAGAGTACAAATTGCTTTTGAAAATTAACTTTAAAGTATTCCACGTTTCCATGTGAAGCGTTTGTTGGCAAATATGTGTGTTTTGAAAAATGACTTTCAAAAGTCGCTTTACATGCATGCTCTGACTACCACAGAAATTATGTAATTTATTTTTCGACATTGTGCTGTGAATAACTCAGTGAGAGGGGAGACCAGTATGTTTGCATGTATGTAT